AGAAATCCGTTGTTATTTTTTTGCTCCCTTCTGGCGAAGAGCCTCTCAGATACGGCGGTGCCTCCCGTGAGGAACGGTAGATGCTCTCTCGCCTGCCAGAAGGGAGCACATATAATATAGAAAATATACAGTATTGTTGATCTTACTGTGTCCTATTTGCCACCATGTTGATGAATGCAGAGGAGTTAAACAATATATTTCAAAACTGCAAATTCTATGATCATCGCACCCCACTAATGTGGTTATAAGTAGATATATTGGATGAGATTGGTTGTTTTCATCCATGTATCCAAGGGTATCTATAGAAAATGGTAAAAATGTCAAGAGTCCAGCCATTTTTATGCATGTCACATTTAAAGTGTCACTCATAAAAAGACAAACAGCAAACAATTAGGAAAGTTATTTTTATCTGTACGCATTTATCTGTCTGTTTACCTACTAGTGAATACCTACCAGACTCCAGATATTTCTCTCTAGAAACCTAAGTTATTTCATTACAATAAACCAGTAACCGAGATCAGTGCAACTTCATAAACCAAATACTATAATGATGTCCATGCAGCTAAAAATATGTATCCAGGTACAATATCTGTCACAGGTAGTGGCAATTATTTTGGTTGCTCTCGAAAAGTAGAGTGGAACCTTTCTACTGCTATGGAAATTCACTAGGAAAATCAATTGTAAATTAAATTGAATGTAAAAAAACCTTACCTGCATTAAAAAGAAATGGCCAGGAGTTCCTACAGTCTGATTGTGAAATGATTATACAATGAAATGCACAACACTCACATATCCAGAACTTGACCCTTACTCTCCTTACTCTTACTCTGTCCTTACTCTCTTAACAGTAAGGTAAGTGAAGAACTTCATGTCATCCCTGTGTTGATTTTCCTGTTGTCTTTTCCTTTAAACATCTTGCAAAAACTTGACAAAAAGTTCAAAAAGCACAAAAGAACTCAAATAACACCTTTGTAGAAAAGTAATGGTAATACAGTAATATAATTAGAAGCACAGTTCTGCAATTTTGTGTCTCGTATTTAACACCAGTAAAAATGTAAGATTTGATCCTTTAAATTTGAAGACCTTTATTGGTGCAAATTCCCCCATTTTTGTGTGGAATTTTGTGATATGTATTGATTGTGAATTACATCCAAATTCCAAAAGTGCCTAGACAAAAATAAACCCACTGAATCCATTGGAACTTTCTCCCATGTTATAATTGAGGTAAGACTCATTATAATTTGATGCCTTATCTGAATAGCATCTGTTAAACCTACCTTAGCAACACCACTGTCCTACCTCACCAGGGCTTATTTTGCCAGATTCATCTCTATTCTTAGCAGCTACTCTTGGTGAGTATAATTATATAAAATGCATTCCTCCTTATTTTTCATAAGATAGTTCAAAATATGAGACTGTAGACAATAGTGATTTGCCCTATAGCATGCATTTGTTGGATTCAAAATGTGACAAATCAGATGCATTTGGTGATCTTTTCTACTTTTTGGGTTAAATAGTACTTTGCCTCAAGTGAAATAAAACTAAAGAAGATGGGATTCAATTGTCAACTTGAATATACTTAGTCTCATCAGTACAGCCATTCACTGGACATGACTGATGGCACAGTTGAGTTGAATCCCAAAAGGAAAAAGGGAGCAAAAATATTTGGATATAAGAGACACAGTCTTATAGAATAAAGATCTACTTAAAAGTACTTCGATACTTCAGATGGCTTGCAGTCACATCAGTCTTAATGAGCACCAGTGAGTAATGGAGGAGTAGCTACAGCCTATACTATAAAGCTCTCTGTTTGAAAGCAGCCTTTTTTGAAGCCATATTTGTTGCTTGTGAGTCCATATGATTTGCTGCCATGATATTTTGAACTGTGAGTACTAACCTTCTAGCTATTATTTCTTAAGTTTTTATAACTGCCTTTCACTATCAGTTTTGCTCTCTTATATTACATCTGACATGGGTTGATTTTCTTCTGGAGTAAGTCCACTTATTACTCTTCTGTGAATCCCTTTCACTCTGAATATTCTGTTTTAAAATTAATGTTTAATTATACAATTATAATACAACTTTCCCTGGTCTTATGTTTGACTCTGTGTAGAGTATCCTTGGCATCACTGCTTCTAGCCAAGCTTTGTCTCTGGTGATCTATGAAAGTTATTCTGTACTTTGCAAAAAATGTTATTTTCAACACTTCTTTTGAAATCTCCATTGGCGGCTTCTACTGACTACTTATCCAAAGTAGTGCTATTAATATTTATAAGCTTTCAATAATGCAGACTTTTGTGTATTTTGTAGACCATATGCTGCCCTCTGTCTTCTCAAAACAGCTGAACCAACAGAACTCTCCATTACACCATGGTGCTATTTTTTTTTGAAGTGTGGAAAAAAAAGGGTAAACAACTTTCACCCCCACATGCATTCCTCTTCATTAATCCCCAAAGCACATGCATGAACACCCCCCCCAACTCAAATTATTTTTTTCAAAAGTCACTTTTGTCTTAAAATAGTAAGTTTTTCCCCTGTCTACCATTATTTTAATATATACATTGTGTCCCATTATAAAAGCAAGGGTTTGGATTTTCTTTTGTTTTTTTTTAAATATCTACCTTATGCGGTGATGAGGCTGAGAAAGTGGTGGGGAGAGACAGACTGAAAATTTAAATTCATGAATCTCAAATAATGAATAATGCATAGCAATAAGTGGCTTGGAGAAATCCATTTGGATAACACAATGTAGGTTAAAAGTAATAATATGTCTGAGCAGCATTCTGAATTACCTTATGTGAAGGGCGTGTCCAGAGCTTCATGCTAATTTATCCTGGAGATTTCAGAAAATCTGTGCCTACGCATCTATTTAAGTATATGTTCCATTTTTATGGCAATCCACAAAGGTTCATTAATTGGAATTCTAATATAGGAAAGTTCTAAATCTCCATGCCAGTAATAGAAAATCAATGGAGATAAATGATTGTGAAACGACCTCTTCATGCAGAGAAAATGGAGGATCGATTCTCTCATTGTGTATATTTTCTAAGATAACCATCATCATAGCTATGGTTAACTAACTTTTCATAGCTAACCAAGAGCCAGTTTGGGCTAATGGTTAAGCAACAGGCTAGAAAGGGGGAGACCAGGGGTTTGAGTCCCACCTTAGTTATGAAAGCAGGTTGGTTGACTTCGGTACAATTACAGTATCTCACCCAACTCGCTTTATAATTGGCTGTTTTGGGAAAAATGGGAGGAGGAAGGTGTGCTGGATACGTTCACCGCCTTGAGTTAACTTATAAAATAATAAAGGCAGAATACAAATTTTAAAAACTCTTTCAGTGCTCACTTCCGAAAAAAGCGTTTTCCCTTTCCGCGTGGTGCTGAAGGGACAGCGACAGTGACGGGCCCCAAATGGGAAGAGTTCGACTTGTCCACCAATAGCTATGATGTTTAGGCAACGTTTGAATAAGGCTCTATTCACAAATGAGTGCAAGGCAGGGTAATTTTATTCCCAGTTCTCAATATGGAAACGCAGCCCTGTTCTGCCTACAGAAGAAGGGATTAAAATTAGGTTTTAGGACAATCGTTTTCTTGGCTCTGCTCAGATGTCGCAAACTCCCGTTCAAGCTTTTGAGTTCTGCAGAGTTCCTCCTCAAGGGGATGGGAAAGACTACAAGAGAGAGGGCGCAGAGGGAGATAGGGAGAGAGAACATGATTTTGAAATCCTAGCGTTGGTCGTTAATTCCACTGTTAAAATAAAATTCAGTACTACAGAGCATGTGTTTTGCACATAAGCAATACTGCATTTAGGGGTGAAGGGTTTTAGGTAGCAACTGGGTTGGAAATAATACACCCCTAAGAGTTTAAAAAGCCGTCTAGAAAAACAGATTTGTCTTCCTTGACCAGGAGTTTTCAGGCAAGTTTGATGGGTCATGTTGGGTGGTGAAATAGTAGGGGAGTCACTTCCAACCGATCTAAAGGGCGCCTGGTTGGGGGAAGGCAGGAGATACCGTAGATCAAGGTGACTATAGGAAAACATGCATGTTCAATATACTTTCCAGCAGCTGATTTATCTAGCACACAAAAGAGACCCACTTGCCAGCCTTGTCAAGGTCAAATCTTTGTATTCTGAAAATTGACTCTCCCCTCCTCACCGCCCCAGCCAAGAAATTATCTTCCCTTGCTTTGTCAGTGGTTTTTCTTCCCATGGCCAGCAACAAGGGGTGGGGGAAGGAATATTTTAAGCCACTGCAGTGGCAGGCACCCCATCTTTTTGACTCGGCAGTTCCACTCCTCTCTCCCGCACCGATCCCTCTGCCCAAATCGGGTCCTTCTTCCACCCGTTCCTGGAAAAAGACAGTCTGCGAAAGGAGGCTTCTCCCAACAAAGGGGCGTGGGCTCCGAGGTTTCCCACGCCCGTTTTTCCCTGAGTTGGGTGTGGCTGAATTAGGGAAGACTTCTGCCTTCCAGAAAAGGGGGCGCATGGGCTTCTGCGACACCTCCGCACACGCCCCCTCCTCTTCCCACCACTTGTAGTCCAGTCCAATTCCGATTGTCACCTCATTTCCGGATCAATCCTTAATTTCTGCTGCAGAGTGAGTGGGGCTTTCTCGCCCTTTCCCTCCCTCGCCCTCCGCTCCTTTCCTGCCCACTCCCCCCGCCCCTTCCTCCTCATCTGGTTGCTGGGAACTTGAACCCAGCCCTCCCGCCGGCTGCGCTGCGCCGACCATCTTCGCCCGCCCCTCCACGCCTTTCCCCGGCTCTCAGCCTGCCAACTTCACGTCTCCGGGCTCCCAACCGACCCTTGCCTGGGATCTACCAAGGCGGGGAGAGGTAATACAAAAGGCTCGCTTCTCGCTCCTGCCCATCCCCGCTTCTAGCAAGGGCCGGAGGCTCGGTGTCTGGAGGCTGCCGGCTGGCCTGTTGTCCGCCGCTTTCTGTCGCCTCCCGAAGATCAAAGCGAGCCGGGCGAGAGGAGACGTACCCCGGGGCGAGCCATGGCCGAGAAGAAGCAAGCGGCCAAGCCCGGCGGCGAGGAGGAGGAGGAAGTGCCAGCCTTCTTCAAGAACCTGGGCTCCGGCAGCCCCAAGCCCCGCCAGAAATTCTGTGGCATGTTCTGCCCGGTGGAAGGCTCCTTGGAGAACAAGACCATCGATTTCGACTCCCTCTCCAGCGGACGCGGCTCTCCCACCGGCAAGATCGTGGCCAAGCAGCGGGACGTGGCTCACCTCGGACCCGACGCTCCCTCCGTCTCCTCGTGGCCAGGCAGGAAGGTGGAGATCCGGAGAACGGCCGGCAAGGAGGCTTTGCAGAACCTGAACGACAAGGTGAGTCGGAGGCCCGGGAAGGGGGTGGGGAAAGGGCTTCCCTCCCCAGCCCGCCCCGCGCCCAGATCCAAGGCTTGAAGGCGTTGCCGAGGCTGACTGAGCAGGTTTAAAAGACGATCACCGAGGTGGCGTCTTTGGGAGACAGGCAGAAAAAGCAAAAGACCCAGCGGCGCCCCCGCCCCCACTCTTTCTTTCTCGCTAAGGGGATATCGGAGCTCTGAGCTGCCAGCTGCCAGCTGAGCTAGAAGGAAGCCCCACCCACCTGATGCAGCGTCCAGAGCGGCAGCTAGCAGTTGCTAGACAAAGATGCTGAGTGGTAAACCAAAGAGAAATAATGGCATGATCAAATCAGTCACTCACATGATTGAAGGTCCTTTGGCCCTCTGCCTTCTGAGACCCTGGGACTCCTTTCTGCTTCCCGCCCATTTAGGAGAGAACTATAAAAAGTTCTGAGCCCTAAGGACCATGTCTAATCATTGGCAACAAATTATCCCTTGTCTAATCATGGGCAACAAATAAGAGCCACTATTGATTGTGCATTGTGCCCAACATTCCATTGCAGAAGTTCTGTAGAAGATCTTTCTAACTTGGAGCCGATGCTGGTTTGTCCAGCCAGGTTTGTAGCTCACCAAAGTCTGGAGATGCACAGAATTGGTTGTTCGTTTCTCCCAGTTACATGTGTGTCTTAATTCACTGAGTTGAGGGGATTTGTAGTCCAAAACAATAAGGATGTCCAAGTGATAAAGGCTGGCCTAAAGGCATGAAGGAACCTTGCCCAAATAGCAAAAACCTTAGTGTATTGCTAACCTTAGTGCAAATGGGTAAGAAATTTGCTCAGGTCATGGTGACAACTGCAGTAGGAGATCAAACCAAACATTCTTTAACATGGGGGAAGAGATGCTGCCAGATGCCACTATGAAAAACCCTGCAAATAGCTTGGTCCAGAAATGATGTGCACTGGAATGGGGGGCAGCAGATCTTTCAATAAATAGTTTTATAGGTGCTGAATTAATCTCACATTCTATATGTTGGAGAGAACGTTTCCTCAATACACAAGTTCTTGCCTCAACACTAGGCATCTTCAGGCACAGTGGGTATATTTTAAAGATCCTTGAGATTGGCTCAAGTTCTGATGACAACATAAAGATATCTGTATTATATTCTTAGTAACAATGTGGAAATGGCTTCCCATTACCTTCTTCAAGAATCTTGTTGGCTTCTAAGACTAGTTTACAAGATTTAGGTTTCCTGATGGCTTCCTATCCAAGGACTAGGAGATCCATGTTCTCCTGCTCACCATTTGTTTTAGATCAGTTAAGGTGGCCTGGATGCTGCCATCTGCTGCTGAAACCAAATAAAGAGGCAGGCTGGCTATATTCACAAAGCAGACCTACCAAGGTCACACTCCAGGCTCTATAATACCCAGAAGTGTGAAATTTCTTTGTATTGGTCCAATAAGTCAGTATTGTCTTAATAGAGTCATAACAACACTTGATTTCAGAGTTTCAAACAGGACTCTTTCACATGCTAATCTGGAAATTCCTTAATCAGGGACTTTTGATATATAAAGGATGAGCTTTGTTGGTTTTACTTTTCTTTTAAACACTCAATTTCTCTTTGTCCATCTTTGCTGAACTTATGACTCATCTTAAAAGATGTTCAAAATGGACCCATTAACTTCTATGGAGTTTTGAATTTATATTATGACAGCACCATGGCTGAATTTAAAGAAGCCATGAATGTTAAAGGTTTGCACATTAGCAAATCCCAGAAATGAGATGACTAGATAGAGACATTCCATCTTCTTAAAGGGAAAGATACTGGGACAGCTTCAATTCATACAAACCATAGAAATTGATATCAAACATTTTTTTTTCCAGCAAAACTTGGTATCTTTTTTGTGAAGTGTTCACTGTATTGATCTATGAATAATGTTGCTCAGATGGCAAGCTGCGTTCATTGCACAATGACCAAGCAATTCTACCTCCAGCCCTACCATAGGCAGAGGGAAGTAATTATCTCAGAAAGCTGCTTCTGGTTGCCATTGATGGGGCAGTAGATTGTGAGTCAGGTGCTTTATTATAGATTTACTCCCAGGAAAAGGAAGTTGCCTTATGCAAAACAACTTGGCCAGCTACAATTATTCTGCATGCACTCTTCCATGCAAAGCATCAATAACGTTCATAGTCTGGCCTTGGGGAAGAGAGAAAAGGGAGGGGGACTTCTATGCTTCACTTGCCAAGAGAACTAAAAAAAATCAAATGAAATCCACAGGATGTATCGTACGAATTGACAAACAAAAGTTGCATCTACACATTTGGCTTGTTCCTGTTCAAGGTTCACATGGATGATGTATACTGAGAATGAGGAGATCTGACAGAAATTCAATTCTAGGGCTTCTAGACTTGGGCTACAATGAAGTATTTTCCATCTCATTTGTGGCTCAAGTATTTGTTCTAATCTGGGGAAAAAAACCAAGAAAAAAATGGCCTCTGCTGATTTGCATCTCTGTCTCACCTTTTGTGATTCTAATTAGGAAAGCTACTCAATTCCCAAGTCGTTGACCAGTGATATTCTCCTGCAGCCTCTTGCATCAGTGTTTCTCAGGAGCAAACTAGTTATTGGCCATAGAGATGGAAACATTCATTTTAAAAGTAACATATTTCTATACTGCAATTACTGGGAAAGGCAGAGTTTTAAAAGGATAGTATCTGCTTCCATCTCTTTGATGCATGGACTTTCTGGAGGCATCTGATGGGCAAAGAATGTTAGGTCCAATGGTATTTTTTTTGGAGCAAGCTGTGCATGCTTCCAAAATAATTCAGTTTTTTCTAGTCATCTCTACAAGACCTAGCTGCTTTAAGACCTGTGATGACTTTAACAAGTAGACTAAAACTCCTTTCTCAACATTGGCAGCTTTAGGTATGCTGGGAAAATCAGCTCCCAGAATTTCCCCACTGTTCTCAGTGTTGAGAAACTTTAGCTTAAAACAGGGGTATATAGATCTAGCCCATGGGGCTGGCCTGGAAATAGTGATGGACCGGCCCATGGTGCCTCTGCCAGCGAAAATGGAGCTCGGGAGGGTCGTGTGTAACCCTCCTGAGCTCTGTTTTCACAGGCAGAGCACTCATGCTACCACAGATGCCCCCGACACAAATGATGTTGAGCTGGCCATGCCCACCCTGGCCAAGCCTCTTCAGCCCCCCTCCCCCAAGGTCAAACACAACTGTGATGCAGCCCTCCATGAAATTGAGTTTGACACCCCTGCCTTAAAGTATTCGTGTAGACATTGTTTTCTCAAGTATACATCAAACAATGTAATTAGGTATGAGAGTTAATCTAAGTAGACTTTATTCATGTAATTAGCAATTGTGTGAATTGTTTTTAAAATGCAAGCATGAGTCTCCTACCTCACATCAATGGAGACCTTTACCTTTTTCCCATCCTGCTGAAGTACAAATCCTGGATTAAATCTTATATAAATCAGAACATTTCTTCTAGTGCAAAAGAGGAAGAGGAAGGAGGTATAGTTTTACTGCACCTGTTAGAAACTTGTTCTGACCTAGGCTTCCCAAGATCATGAAGCCAATACCTCATCCCAATAAAACCTCTTTTATTTAGGTTAAAGGGAATTTCTTTCCAGCAAAGTCCCGGCCAATAGTCTTTCATGAGATTTCACAACTACAGACCTTTATCAAGCTTGGAGAGTTGCCAGGCCGATATCTTCCAAACACCACGCTGTTGCAGCAATTACTTGGCGAGAAGTCAGGAACAGATCTTCACCCTAATGAATTGAACTAACAGTCTCCTGCAAACTCTCCTCCCCTTTCCCTCCTCTTTATTCCCAATGGGAGGGTCCATTCACCATCCACCTGTGCTTTTACTCTCCAGTCAGCCCTTGTTCCTTAGTTGTTCCCTTCTCCTGGCAGCTTTGCCCATGTGCACATCAGGAATAGGCTCCAGCTGTTCGTCTGCCCCATTGATATCCGACTCCGAAAGCAGCTAATAACTATTGGATGGCCCTTGCCCCATCTCTGCCTCCAACGCAGAGCCCTCATCAGAGCCTTTCCCAGACTCCACGACTGGCCCATGTTCCTCCCCAACCTCCTCACTGTCTGAGTCTGCCACCAGCTCCACTGGCCACTAGCAGGCCACAACAAAACTGTAGAGCAGTGATGAAATTCATTTTTTTTTACTACCGGTTCTATGGGCGTGGTTTGGGAAGGATACTGCAAAATCTCCATTCCCACTCCGCTCTGGGGCCAGTTAGAGGTGATATTTGCTGGTTCTCCAAACTACTTAAATTTTCCATTACCAGTTCTCCAGAACCTGCTGAATTTCACCCCTGTTGTAGAGGATGGGTAATTGAGGAGTGCACACCCTAAAAATTAGCCAACAGCTGACATGAATTTGTGAAGCATTTAAAGATTCATTAATTTTTGTAGATTGAACTGATTCAATCTGAGAATTCAATAAAAGTGTGCAAAGGTCCACGAAACCTATGGATGGATTTGAACACACAGTTTTGATTACATCTCTAAAGTGAAGTTTCCCACAAGTGTATTGATAATCTCCAAATGAATCTGCAATTGGTTATTGAGGTGTTTCATATTTTATTTATTCTTAAAGCCAAAATAAACTAGGTATCCACTTGATTATTGTTTGGTCATACCATATCTAACTTTGTCTTTTGTGGAAATTGTTACTAGAATATACATGCATGTACCTTTGCCAGAGAGTTGCCTAGCTCTGTCAAAAGACTGAAAGAGATTCAGGGTTGATATTCCTGAAGCTTGATGCTATGCAAACCAATTTACTGAATACTGTGATCCAGACCTACCACTGAATTTATGCTAGCAAAGTCTATGGGTCAATCATAATGGAACTTTGTAACATGAAAACCTGGTTGCTGAGTTGGATCATTGTTTCTCTATGACTATTGTTGTGATGAATTGGATGCACCTTTCCAGAATGATGTGGTGGCCTAGAGATAGAGCCCTCGTCTCACAATCAGGAGGCGGTGAGTTTGATTCTAGATAGAGTCAGATATTTCTCTCTTTGGGCATGATGAGAATATATCTGCTGAACAAAAAAAACTCTGCATTGGTGACAGGAAGAGCATGTGGCCATTAAAACACTTTGCTACCTCCATTCAGTTGCCCAGACTCCACCCTGCAAGGGATTATGGGGTAGTTAAAAGAAGATGATGATGATTGGATGCACCTCCCCAGAATTTCTGGCAATTAAATCCACCCTCACCCCCAGTGGATTGAACCCGGGATCTTCTTCTACATGTGATGGAGATGCTCTATTCAGAGTGTTCTTGGTAATGTTCAAAATGGTCTGAATCCTTGTCTGAATCATATGAACTCTTGAACCATATCTGGGTTGAAATGATTACTTATTTATACTGGAATAATATTTAGCTAACTTCAACTATTTTGTACTTCCTTTGGCAACCGCATAGCTGCACTTGTTTCTAAGCCTTGCTCTGAATCTTTGCTCCCATGTAAAAATTCCAGCTGTCTGCTGCATTGCACTTAATGGCCCGTATAATTGGCACAGTTGTACAGATGCATAAAACTTACAGGTGCCCTACAAAAATATAAACAATAAAATCTGCTGCAAGCAGTTCACTATTAAAGCAACCTTGGACTCTCCAGATATCAACTTTGACTTCCAGGATTTCTGTCCATTCTCTCCGTTGCAAATTCTTGAAATACTTCAGATTTTCAAATACTTGAAAATCTGGATTTACTGTAGATATATTACATTTAAATAGAAAGAAGAATGGAAGAAGATGAATTTATTTGTTTGTTTTTTAAATATCAGGTTGATGATTGCAGCTGTGTGATTGTAGCTCCACCCCTTTTATATATGTTACGATGCATGTAAAAAAGGAGAGGGGTTTCCATCAAGCAGTTGCCATCACTATCTTTTTTTTCAACTATCCACAGCAGACATGCCTAGATGGAAATATGTATGACTTCTTTCACTTGCTTTAAATAGGCTTATACAAAACAGGGGCAGCATGTGGTTATGTGATAACTATTTCAGAAACCTCAGTACACCCACGTTACACCTATCCTCCGCAAGCTGCACTGGCTACCGATCGGTCTCCTGATATGCTTCAAAGTGCTAGTCGTAACTTATAAAGCCCTTCATGGTATTGGACCTGGGTACTTGAGAGACCGCCTGCTGCCAATTATCTCCCAA